CTCAAATCAGACCAGGGTCTTTTTGAATCCAAGCATAAGCTTTGAATCATAGAGAGCCGGTGTTTTTCTTTTATCATATCTCATTCCCATGGACTTTGGAATGAGAGTGTAAGACAACTTGCTCCGTTGATTCAGAGATTGTACAATAAGAACATGTCTTCTTATTACGCGAGCCATTCCATTATTTAATTATAACAAAATTGTGTAATGATAGGAACCTATTCCTTTTGCACTTTATTGGGTAAATGCATAAAAAAAATTATCCCAGCACTGGTCCCTTGATTTCCTCTTCACTTCTGGACTAATTTGTTAGCCCTGCCCAGAAGAAAGAAACGGAGAAGGTGAATGGAAGGACTGCTTTTCCTCCTGATATATTGCTGAACTCTTTGGAGAAGCCAGATGACCATGTAGCCGTAGCTATGAAAAGTAGAATTAAGACACTATGAAATTCGGTGGGAGTTTGCGTCATAAAATTATATATAAAGTTAATTAATTATATATAAAGTCTGAACGTGCCCATTCTGGATTTTAAAATGGCATTGTGTGCATTTCTGTGTGTGTTTCAGAGACTGGGGGTGCAGACTACTTTAAAATAAATAAGTTGTGGGTGAGGAATGCGTTTTATAAAGCAGGCACCAAAATGATACTGACTAGGACAGGGGTAGGCAACCTCGGCTCTTTTATGACGCGTGGACTTCAACTCCTAGAATTCCTGAATCAGCTATGCTGACTCAGGAATTCTGGGAGTTGAAGTCCACGCGTCATAAAAGAGCCGAGGTTGCCTACCCCTGGACTAGGAGCTCGTCTTTTTCCAGTTTTCTTAACAGTTTAAGTACTAGAAATACACAACTATTGTGTTTTGACATAACTGTGATCAAACCAACTGCAATTTGCAATAGCCTACATCCAGTAGCACTCTAGGAGACTTTGCAGGATGTGAAATTGGGTGATATGATAGCAGTGTTCCAATATCTCAGGGGCTGCCACAAAGAAGAGGCAGTCGATCTCTTCTCCAAAGCACCTAAAGGCAGGACAAGAAGCAGCGGATGGAAACTAACCAAAGAGAGTAGCAACCTAGAACTAAGGAGAAATTTCCTGACAGTGAGAACAATTAATCAATGGAACAACTTGCCTCCAGAAAATAATGGTGCTCCAGCTGAAGAGATTGGACAACCATTTGTCTGAAATGGTACTATAGGGTCTCCTGCTGGAGCAGGAGATTGGAGCAGAAGACCTCTCAGGTCCCTTCCAACTCTTTTATTCTGTTCTATTATTTGCTTCATGAAATGTTGGTCTCAGCAGGTGCCCTGTGATGTTGGCTCCAATGCGGTCTTTTCTTCATCATAAATTTTGTGAGCTATTTTGTGGACATGGGTGAGAATAAATAAATTGTTGATTTTACAAGGAATCATCTCATTCCTTATCAGATAGCTCTCCATATTTGCCTAGGTGGAACTCAGTGTTCTTCATGAAAGGATTTTTACCATCAGTTTCAAACTAAACTGCTTTTCTTTTCTTTCCCATAAAAGTACGTAATCTCATGATCTCAAAGCTGAAATAGGCTGGAAATAGACAAATGTGCTGATTCTTTGTTTCATCATCAACCTTGATTTCCCAGATGTTTGTGTTATAATAAGGAATATGTGGTTAGCCAGTGTGTTAAGTTTTGACCTATTTTTTCTGCCTTTCTTTAAATCTTCTAGGCTGCCCAGTAAATGGTCATCCCACTCCTAACATCACTTGGTTTTACGACGGTCATCCCTTCCATCTGCCCTATCAGGTGTTAGCATCTGGTCAGATTCTCCAGATCCTGAATGTCAGCAATGATTATCAGGGAGAAATCAGCTGCAGGGCTCAGAATGAGGCAGGCTTGCTTATTCAAAAAACATCTCTGGTCATCCAAGGTAAAACATAGTTCTAGATCAGCCTTACCCAACCAGTAATTTTCCCATGTCTGAACTTCAGTTTCTCCTAGTTTCTTCGAACTATGACAACTGAAACCAAGTAGATCCTTTGAACTAACAAGTGGAATGCATAGTTTGGGGACGGGGCTGATTCTGGTTTTCTAAATATTTGATACGTCTTTGCCATTGAATGTTATCAGAGTTTCCTGTAAACTATACAGAGGGAGTCTGAGGGAATGCTTAACACCACACAGGCGTTTATTCCAAACAGAAAGTCATCCAACCTAGTCTGGGTATGCTGTGGAAATGCAAATCTCATACAAAAGTAAACAGTTTCTGGACAGTAGTCTACGTTTTATTTTAGAATATTGTATATTGTCCCAGTATTAACTCCTGCTGGGTTAATTTTTCTGGATTCTTTCAGCATAAAAACAAACCCCATTGAGAAAAACTTACATAGGTTTTATGTCAGATTGCTTACCCTGAGAAGAAAAGAAAAAAAAAAGACAGTCATTTAACAGTAGTAGAATGTAGCAGACTGGCAGAGGCATTATAATAAGGCTGTAAAGGTCTTGCACTAAGAGTGGGGAGACTGAGGTGCTAGTCCACCTTCAGCCACTGAAGCTTACTGGGTGACTTTGAACAGTCCCCTCTTTCTCAGTGCAACCTGTCTTGCAAAGTTACTGGATGGTATTCTTTATGGACCTTTGGGAGTATTCTTTAATTTTCTTAATGATCCAGCATGCTGTATATGAGCAACAAAAGGTTCTTTCTTTCTTTAATTTATATGCCGCCCATCTGGCCTAGAGGTGACTTTAGGCAGCTTACCATCACAAAAGCAACAAGTTAAACATTAAAACGATAAGTATGAACATTAAAATTGACAAGATAGGAAGGGAGAGAGCAAGAGGCACACGGGGAGAAGGCAGGGTCTTAGCTTAGTCCATTAATCACCTCCAGAATGACACATCCCCATTGGGGCTCCCAGGTTTTCAGGCCCTTTTGGAAGGCTGAATGTTACTTATTTCTTGCTCTTTCTAAAAACCAGTTTGAACGTCTGCCACTTCCCTTTCCTTGTAGGGCTCTAATCTGTGGTGGATGATTCTGAAGATTATTTTACTTGTGTATGAAATTATACTGTGTGATAATTTGCACAATCTTTTAAATCTCCTTTCTTTGCTATTGATATATGGATTTACCTCTTTCAGTCTGTTAGCCACTGGTTGCTCTCCATATTTGCTAGCATAGCTTGGTTAAAGCTTTATTGTACACACAGATGCATACACGGCACTGTGTGTGACTCCTTGAGCTCCTGTTCATTCTTATCTTCTTTCTATAGACTAGGCTAGACTTTTCCATTTAATTGAACTGTTGCAATTTCAGATTACCGATGGTCAGTGGACAAGATGTCACCTTGTTCAGCCTCTTGTGGCAACAAGGGTCTGCAATATCATCAGCTGAAATGCTTACTGGATGGAACCCAGGTCAACATATCCCACTGTGTGGAAAAACCCAAACCAAATCTGCAACCTGTGGCGTGCAACAGAAGAGATTGCCCTTCAAGGTTTGGCCTTCCATTGAAATGTGCAATGTGTGTCAAAAACTTCGCAATGAGGCAAGGATTGCTAACCTTTATAGAATCATCACTTGCCTAAGCATTGTAGCAAAAGTTGCTTTATCAGCTTAAACTGCCTGGCAACCAGGAATCAAGGAATCTCTTTGCAGGACAGAGTAAGATATCTCTGTCAATTATTATCAAGGAATATCTACTGATAAGTTAAACTTGGCAGGTGTGAAGTACTATGCATCTTGACGGGCAAGTACATAAAGTTGAGTCCATCAGAAAGAAATGCATCAGCCCAATCTTCCGTGATGTATCCATGGCTAGGACTACAATTCCCATAATAAGGATGGGGGAAGTTTTCTCCTTCTTGCGTTCCTTTTGTAAATGGTGGAAATATGGTGCTAACATGACACAGCACAGTCTGGACTAGCACATTCCTTAAGTGGTATAGCACATTCTCCAGTATCAAATCACTACCATTATATTCCAATCACGTTTTGTAGTATGTCTTGACCAAATGAGAATCCCAATGCCTGAAAAATTATTTCTCAAAGAAACTGTCAATGCTTAATGATAGATTGTATATAGATGCTACTGTTCTTTGAGACTTTTAATAAAATAAAGAGTATCCATCATCTTGGTGTAAGATATCACTAATGTCTGGGGCCTGACAGCTAAAGAAGAGAATTAAAAGACACAATGAGTAAAAAGCATATGATCATTAGAACTGTCCTCAAATTGTCTCCAGCACCTTCTTTATGTTTTACTATCCACATCTGCAGTTTTCCAGTTCAGTCACTTTTCCTATTGATTAAATTCATTCTGTCATTACAATATGAGCCACGATGGCGCAGTGGTTAGAATGCAGTAGTGCAGGCTTACTCTGCTCACGTTGTCAGGAGTTCGATTCCTTTGATTCCAACCAGTTCAAGGGATGACTCAGTCTTTCATCCCTTCCAAGGTTGGTAAAACGAGGACCCAGATTGTTGGGGGCAATATGCTGACTCTGGAAACTGCTTAAGAAGGACTGTAAAGAACTGTGAAGCAGTATACAAGTTTAAGTAACATGACAGTGTAAGATAGCACGATCATATGGGCATTGCAGGAAGTGCTGCTGAAAAGGATGCCTCTCTGTAAGAATCCCATTTCATTATCGTGCCCAGGGTGCTTTCAAAATAAAGGAACACATAAAAAACCTCACCCTCAGCCACTTTGTGTTCTTAACAAACCAAGATCCCACCTCCTGTGGATTTCCCCAGCTTCAACGTTGAACTGCTTTGGGAGGTAGTATCTATGTTTGTTCCCAGTGCAATCCATGATTGAATTCTTTTACATCTCTGTTCTAGAAACCTACCACCATTTAGGCTAGACCAGTGATGGCGAACCTATGGCACGGGTGCCAGAGGCGGCACTCAGAGCCCTCTCTGTGGACACGCGTGCCATCACCCCAATCCTAGGCCTTCAGCTGGGTTTTATAAAACCTTTTCGCTTTAGGCTTCCGCCGCCGTGTGCAAAAAAAAAAAGGTTCAATCAATCAATCAATTTCAACTTCTTGCGGGAAAAAAAAGATCTTGCAAAGTTGGAATTGATTGATTGAACTTTTTAGTCCCGCCCAGTCTGCCGTTACCACCACAGCCACGCCCACCCAATGGGCCACACCCACCTGGCACTCGACGATGCATAAGTGGGTTTTGGATTGCAGTTTGGGCACTTGGTCTCTAAAAGGTTTGCCATCACTGGGCTAGACCAATGGTGAGAGATGGTATAAACCAATCTTTGTGGGGGACCCAAGCTAGAAGAAGCTGCTTAGATTTTACTGTGCTAAATAAAGCAATGATTTCAGTTATCCCAAACATACTGATAATTTCTCCTTTGTGTGAATAGTGTGAGTTTGGATCCATTTCTGCCATTTGTTACCATCTTTGTTATTCATTGCAGGGAAATGTTATTTTTTCCAATTTTAGATGCCAACAGTAAGAAATCATTAGGTTTAGTCAAATAGATATAGGAGTGTTGCCTCAGAAGAAATGAAACTGGAAGTTTCGTAATCTACCTACAGTTCTTTCCAAAGTAATTTCACTGAAAATTCTGCTTCTTTACCTCTCCCGATTAGATGGATGGTGACATCGTGGTCTCAGTGTACCCAAAGCTGCGGTGGGGGTATCCAGTCCCGGAGGGTGACTTGTCAAAAACTGACAGCTGCTGGCATTTCCGTACCTGCGTCCAGTGATATTTGTGCTCAGTTTGCTAAGCGTCCAGTAGATACTCAGAGTTGCAATAGACAGCTATGTGTGGAATGGGCAACTTCGGCCTGGGGACAGGTAAGTAAATTTGGTTCACACTAATCATTGTGATTCTGAGAGGGCAAAGGTATCATTGTAATTGAAGGTCTACTTGCATTGAATAGGAAAGAAATATTATTGGTCTTAACAGTGAACATGAATGAGAATTGAACTCTAAAACAAGTATGAAGGAAGAATGAATAGGTCAAAAGGAAGAACAAAACTGAGGTAGTTAGTTATGACTGGGTGGAGGCGAGGCTACCTTCAAAATAGTAGTAGTAGTAGTAGTAGTAGTAGTAGTAGTAGTAATAATAATAATAATAATAATAATAATAATAATAATAATAATAATAATAATAATAATAATAATAATAATAATAATACCAGGAGATGCCAGAGTCGAAGAAAAAGAACTGGAAAAAAATTACAAAATATTGCGACCTGGCCATCGAAACTGCACGATTATAGATGAAACGTGTACAATGTACCCATTGTCATCGGGGCACTGGGAACTATGTCCAAAAACTTTGCAAAATACATCAAGAAACTGCAGCTTCCTGCAATAACTCCAGCAATGTTACAAAAAACTGCGCTACTCGGAACATCTTATATTTTAAGGAGGTACCTGGTTGACACCTAGGATGCTGGTAGCAACCCGTGTCAACCATCAGCGCTAGCCAATTTGAATGTTCAGTTGACTGAGGTTCATGTCCAATGAATAAAAGATAATAATAATAATAATAATAATAATAATAATAATAATAATAATAATAATAATAATAATACCATCATCTTTATTGATTAGCCCATGGGCCATATCAAGGTGCAGAATTCCAAACACACGTTATACTAAAATGCAGTAAAAACAAAATGGAATAATACAAGTTGGATCATAGATGAGTTGAAGAATAATTGCAAAGTGCCGGTATGCACTGGCTTCAAGCAGAACTAAATCCATCATTTTTCAACTAGCAGAATCTCTGCACTAAAACCTACATACCCATAGCCATACATTGAAACATAAAAGATCTGAAGGCAGGACAAGAAGCAACGGGTGGAAACTAATCAAGGAGAGAAGCAACCTAGAACTAAGGAGAAACTTCCTGACAGTTAGAACAATTAACCAGTGGAACAGCCTGCCTCCAGAAGCTGTGAATGCTCCAACACTGGAGGTTTTTAAGAAGAGACTGGACAGCCATTTGTCCAAAATGGTATAGGGTTTCCTGCCTGAGCAGGGGGTTGGACTAGATCAAGGCTTTTCAACCAGTTGTACGGGTACCACCTGTGGTATATTGGCACCTGGCAGGTGGTACGCGACCATCCTAGAAAAATGGTAGCGGGGGAGGGGAATGAGCTGAACCGGAGGCAGCACCACACAAGCCTGAGCGAGAGATGGCTGGAGCTGCAGGGCTCCAGGGGAAGCGCCAGGGGAAGTGCCAGGATACCAGGCTCCAGCTGGAGCTCGGCGCTGATCCTGGTGCTTCTGCTGAGCCCAGAAGAAGCGCCGATCAGCTGGAATGTTGCAGCATCTCCAGGGTCTTGTGATTTACATTCAGATGCTTGGCAACTGATTCATATTTATGACGGTCACAGTGTCCCAGGGTCATGTGAAGTAACAACCACCCAGCAGATGGGGGAATAAAACCAAACACCCCCCACCCCACCCCCGCTGCCAATCCTCAACAGAAATGCTCACAACAATGAAAACCTCAGACAGGAGGAAGAGCGCCGCCAGGTGGGCAGGCAGGTGTCTTGCTCGGCACTTTTTTCAGTGTCATTGTAACTTCAAACAGTCACTAAACGAACTGTTGTAAGTCGAGGACTACCAGTACTTCATCACTTTTTTCCTTTTTGGGGGGGGGTCATCAAGTTTTTGACACCTTGCTAGGCGACTGGTGGTACTTGGATATTGCCATATCCTAAAAGTGGTACAATGGGTGAAAAGGTTGAAAAGTCCTGGACTAGATGACCTCCAAGGTCCCTTCCAACTTTATTATTATTATTATTATTATTATTATTATTATTATTATTATTATTATTATTATTATTATTATTATTATTATTATTATTATTATCTTCTGTAACAGGAATGCCACCTTTTTTTTATTAAGGATAGTTCCTGGGGATTTTTTTTTCTCATTTGGGAATTTCAGGTAAGGGTTGCTGTTGTTTTTTTTAATGCATGCAGTCTTCCAGGTCCCTTAGGAAGATGACTTAGTTTATATCATGCCATGATGTCATATCCAGGCTCATTAACAAAAGCTATATGAATTCATTGACTTCGGTTGACCTGTTGGCTTTCTAATGTGATATTTCTCCAGCCAGGAAAATGAGGGGAGTTTTTAAGCACTGTGGAAACATATACAACTGCATTTTGAGGCAGGTCCACAAATTGATTATTCCAATTACAATTAAGAACAGATTATGGTCTATGTATAAATGGAATTTTGTTATTGTATCACAGAGTTCATCCCAAAGGATATCAGTTTCCTATTGGCCAAGCTCAATTATTAACCTTTTCCAAAATGCAGAGGAAAGAAGCATATTCTTTTGACCCTTTGAAAATAAGCCTTTCCATTATCCCTGTCTCCTGTAATCTAGTTTTGATATGTCTCTTGTAATGACCGCAGAGAGGGGATTTTATGCAATTATTTATCAAAGAAAAAGAACTTTTGCTCGTGTTTATAGTTGAACTTTTGACATCACAGTTTTGGAATCTAATCGATTTTTTTTTTACTTGCACTCTGAAGTGGGGGAGTCAAATCTTTTTTGCAATACGTCCAGACCCTTGTTACATTGGTTACATTAACATTAATAAGCCTAACCATGGTTTTCCTTCATGAAAATCAAAGAGGAGAACAGCATAACTGGGTTTTTTCCATTCTGTCCATCCGATTTGTTGGCCTTACTTCTTCTCCATGCTTCAAAGATTTGCAATCAAGAGAGTAGGTTGTGTGTGCTTTGGGCTCAAGCACAATCACAGGAAAAACTAGAATTGTGCCAAGTAGACACCCTAAGCTGGCGTGCAATGCAAGACTTTCAGATGGACTGGGCTTGATATAAATATTAGGAGCTAAGTCTTCTGGTCTTCTGTATTTGGGGCTGCAACTTTTGACTCTCCTGAGCTCTGAGCAGCTGCAGTTGGTTGAAGATGCCTCTCTGTAGAACTAGCTCAAAACATCCATGGATTCTATGAACATAAGTCAACCAAACTGGTGGTGAATCTTACTAGATTATTGCAATGCTCTCTATACAGCCTGCCTTGAAGACTACTTGGAGGCCTAGCCTTTTTCAGAAATAATGATCATGGGCAGTTTGGGGCATGCCAGCATTAAAATGTGGCTGTTTTCTCACGCCTTGGTGGAGGGACCGAGATGCTAGAAGATGATAATTCTCAATTTCCTTCTACTATCTGTTCAATGATGTGATATTTTAGAGCAGTAACTCAATCAGTTTTCATTAGGGAAAACGACATGATGAGCAATGTTTGTGCTTTGATACCAGTGTTGTGATGTCAAAGTCTTTTGCAACTTCAGCTTTAAAAAAAAATGTTGCAATCCTATGATCCCTGAATAAGCCAGGATCATGAGGTTTTTTTCAGATGTTCCAGCCTCACAGGTCACCCCATGAGCCTGCAAATAGTGTACTATTGATTCCATTCTGATACAGAGAATGGTATCTCCAAATGTATTTAAACTTTTTTTTAAAAAAAATCAGATTTTTAAGAAGATAATGCTCCTTCTTATCTATCCTCCTAGCATAATAAGGCTTGAAATGAGCCACCTGCAGATCTTACCACTTTATGCTACAACCCAAATGCTGGTCAAATTTCTTTTACTAGTACCCAAATACCATCACATTATCTAACATGCCCAGTAATTAATCTTTTTAGAGACCTGGAGAGAACCCCAGTAATCAAATTCAACACCTTAAAGAAAGACTCTAACTAGGATGGATGGAGTTCTTGGAGAAGAACAAGATAATTGGAAATTGAACTATAACCAAATCATATTCTATCCCAGTGGTTTTGTTTTTGTGAGGTTTTGAGGCAAATCTGTATTCAAAACTAAACTTACTGTATCCTTTCCTGTTGAAGGGGGTATTCCTTAAATATCTCTGGATAAATTTTGGGTAAGCTTATTGACCCATTCCTGGTAGCTCTCCAGAAACATTCCTCAGGGACTTTGGGTAGGACTTTTAAGGATTAATGCTAAGCACTCGTAAAATGTTACATTGTAAAGAGGGGAAGAAGGATACAATCTAAATCATGTGAAAAAAGATTGTGTACTACATTGGTTAAATTTCTAGGGTTTGGCATTAATCATATCTTCCTTTTCAATTATTCATAACATGTCTTCCCTAATTCTGTTATACTGGTTGCCTATCAGTTGTCATAAATATTTGTTGTAACATATTTACAACAGCAGACAAGATATAGTGACCCTTTCTAAAATAAAATTTTGACACTATCTTTTAAAATACCAAATAATTATGAAAGGGGTTAACCCGTTGAATGAGTGAGCAAGCTACACAACACTGCTAGCTTTACTCAGGGAGATTAATATGACAGTTTTTCTGAAAGTTTCCTATTTGTGTCTATTCAAAATGTTAGAATTGTAGCTTAGCCCACCAGCCAACTCAAATTCGAAAGTCCTATCTCTTACCACTTCACACAGCCAGCAAGTAAAGAGGTTTTTTTAAATATCTGTTCTAACCGATGTCTTGTTTTTTCTTTGTTTGTTAACAGTGCAATGGGCCTTGTATTGGATCTCGTCTGGCACTCCAGCACAGGCAGGTTTTTTGCCAGACCAGGGATGGGGTCTCTGTGCCATCTGACCAGTGCAGTTCCCTCCCAAGGTAGGTCCCATCGACACCTTGAAAATACCCAAAGCTCTATGTTTTGGTTCTCAGACCATAATACATGATAACTGATAATCACAATGAATGCTTTTGTCTCACTGGTTATATAAAAAGTCTCCAGTGCCCTCCTTGTTCTAATGATTTAGGAGAAAGTCATGCTTTTTCTTTGCAATAGGTTTTTTTTTCTGCATCATAACCATCAGCCTTTTCCGCAAAATACATGCTTTTCTACCCTCTTCCTAATGTCTGAATATATTTGCATTTATCTGTATACAGAGAGCAGACGTATGGCTGAAGCTCCAGAGAAAGCCATTTTAATTCTGAGGCTTTGCCTAATGACTAGCAACATCGGAATATGTTATACCGGGGGACCCCAACCTGTGGGCTGGGGTCCACTACTGGGCCATGGCCTGCTGGCCACCGGGCCACAGAACAGGCTGGCCAGTGCACGTACATGTGTGCATGCAACTCACCCCCACTCGGGGCTAGCGCTGCCACCTCTACGCAAACAGGGTGCTGCAGAGCAAAAACAGGGTGGTGCTAGTGCCTGTGTGGCAAAAATGGGGCAGTGCTAGTGTCACACAGATGCTAGCACTGCCCTGTTTGTGTCGCGTGTGCTCGCAGCTCCATTTGTGTCGGTGCACACATGTGCGCGTCAAATGCTTCCCCCTCCCTTTTCCTCTGGCCCGCCATAGGACTATTTCTGTACTCTTTTGTAAGCCATTTTTGTTTGTGATTATTTTCAAGATCCAAACGCCCCTGAAATTAATCCCAGCTCCTCTGTGGATAACCTTGAATCAGTTTCCATAAAGGCTAATATGCAAATATTGATGTTTTTTCCATTTTATGTATTTTTTTCCCATCAAAGGCCTTTAAGCACTCAGAATTGCTGGACAGATGCCTGTGGTGTACACTGGAGGGTCAGTCTGTGGACTTTGTGCACTGCTACCTGTGGGAACTATGGCTTCCAATCTAGAAGAGTGGAATGTGTACGTGTTCACACGAGCCAGCCTGTGCAAGATCACCTATGCGCTTGGAGACCAAGACCTGCTAACTGGCAGAGGTGTAACATCACTCCATGCGAAAATAGTACGTTTTTACTATTTCACACCCTAGTCAACGGGCAAAGCAGCAATCTGAATATGCATGTTCTTATGAGCTATTCACACACTCCTCCCTACAAATATAGGCAGTCTTCACTTAACAAGCAAAATTGGGACCAGCAACTCCATCACTTAACTCTTAACAGTACTTTTGGCAATACGGTCACGTGATTGCCATTTGCAATCTTGAAAGCCAGCTTCTGACAACCCAAGTCAATGGGGAAGCCGGCAGGATTTTGCAAGTTGTGGTCATGTGACAGCGTGCTTAATGGCCATGGATGAATCACTTCACAACCAGGCTGGAACTGATGTTAAGTTGGGCACACTCATGTGATGTTTTACTTAACTGTTAAGTAATTCCATTCCAATTTTCAGCACTGTTGAAAGTTTGAACAGTCGCTATACAGGACAGTTGTTAAGTGAGAACAGTCTGTAATTGCAATTCTTCTGCATATAGTTACACTACTCTGCCTTTCAGATTTCTAATCAGACGGTATGTGATTAAACTCTCATCTGTCTTCCTTGAGAAGATAGTCTAGCTTCCCATACAATGTCCAAACTTCACAATAAGTGGAATTCTGTAGTCCCTCCTAGGAATAGTAGTTCCTAGAGAGAGAACTTTGTCACTAGCTAAATCAGAGTTTGAAATACCTTAAAATTGTTTGTTCAAATGTTGGACCTTTTCCATCCTTTCTTTCACCAAATAAATATTTTAAAAAATTGTCCACCCACACTGCTTACACTCACCTAACAAGAATAACCAGAGGTTTTTACCTCATGCATACTACATGTTGTGTCCCATTCTCTCCATTCAATGTCCTCTAAAAAGATCTCCAATTACTTTACATGTGCTTTTGTTTATACATTAGAAGTACAGGTTATCCTTCAACTTAACGACTACAATTGAGCCCAAAATTTATGTTGCTATGTGAAACATTCGTTAAGTGAGTTTTGCCCCATTTTAACGACTTTTCTTGCCACAGTTGTTAAGTGAATCACTGCAGTTCTTAAGTCAGTCACAAAGTTATTAAGTGAATCTGGCTTCCCCCATTGACTTTGATGGTCAGAAGGTCACAAAAAGTGATCACATGACCCCCGGACACTGCAACCGTCATAAATACGAGCCAATTGACAAGCATCCAAATTTTGATCACTGCCATAGGGATGCTACAATGGGTGTAGGTGTGAAAAATGGTCATAAATCACATTTTTTTCAGTGCCATTGTTAACTTTGAATGGTCATCAAGTGATAAGTCAAGGACTACCTTATAATAAGGTGAGTGGAATGAGAATCAATTGCTGTTAGAAATATCTCCCTATACTAAGGTCACCTTCATCTTGCTTATTTCCCATATTCTGAGCTAGAATGTATAGGCAATTTAGGCAATGAAGGTCATAGATTTCATAAGCCAATATTTGTATTTTTCATTGGAGTGTTCGGTATCTCCCAATAGAGCAATTCTCCTCCATGCTGCTATAGAGAGATCTGTCTGAACTCTCTGTATGAGACTGCTTTTTTTTCCCCTCTCTCTCTCTCTTTTCTTTCCCATACATCTACCCTTTCCACTTGTCCCACCTCCATCCTGCTGGAAAAAAGGAGGGAAATGGAAGTTTTGGTACTTGCCTGTTTCTATGTACAAAAGTGATTCACATGCGAGAGAAAATGCTTGGTATAAAGCAGAATAGGGTTCAAATAATTTTATATATTTTGCTTATTTTTGGTTAGGAACTCAATTGATACCTACTAATTTTGTTAGTTAATTAGCCTTGGCTCTTCAAACATTTATTAGGAGGGGGAAATCACTAGGACTGGTTTCAGCTGGAACTGACAATCCCAGGTCGTCAGGATGGGACACCTTGGCATTTTATTGGACTTTTTGTACATGTTTATATTTCTTTTCCTGTTCACTTTTTCTTCTGGAGGTGGGAATGTCGTAAGTTCAGGATCATCTTTCATCTGAGTAACTACAGATGTTCTGAAAGTTAGCCAGCCAGAAAGATTCAAGATGAGATTTGTCATCCCCCTCTTTTTTTATTATTCTCATCCCCTTTTTCCTAGTTGAGTGCAGAGATACCACCAGGTATTGTGAGAAGGTGAAGCAGTTAAAGCTCTGCCAACTGGCACAGTTCAAGTCACGCTGCTGTGGGACGTGTGGAAAAGCATGAAGGCAGCAGCGAAAGAAAGAAAGAAAGAAAGAAAGTGAATTTAGCAACTGATGGCCTGGCTCTACTCTGCTCCTGAGAAGAGCTGCTTGAGAAAAGGAAAATTGGAAAAGCAGTTGCCTCATCTGCCACTTATTTATTTATTTTTCCTTTCTCTCCCCTTCTCTTTTTTTTTTCTTGTTAAGAAATCTCTTTTAACAGAGTCATTTGTTCTTTCTAAAAAAAAAAAATGACCTTGACAAGGTTTCTCTCTTAATGATGGGAAACACATGCAGCGAGTCACAGTTCATGATGAGGGTGAAGGCCAAGAGAGGAACAGAGAGAGAGAGAGAGAGAAAGTATGTTGGAAATGGAACCGTCCAGAAGACATCACTGGGGGGGTCCTTGACGGACTGAAGAAAGACGTGGAAGCAACTGGAGACCAGACACCCAACTGGATTACTAGGACGTGAATCGGAATGGGGCTTGACAGACACAGAAAGCAGAGATTAAAATGGACGATTGGCACCTTGCAAACAAACGTTGGCGCTGACTCTGGCACACTCGTAGGGAATCCTCTTCCCAAACAGGGATTTACTATGTTGCGCTCACCATCACCACCCGGAAAGCGGGTAGTGTGCCGTGTTATACTTGTGAGTTCTTGGAATTTTGCCACAGCAAGAACAGCTGGTCTTTTGGGCTTGACATTGGCAATGGTGATGGGGATTTCCTATGCCAACACATCCAGAGGCCACTAAGTTGGGGAAAATATAATTAGAAATAAGGGGAAGAAAGAGGGTGGTAAAGTTCTCGCTGCCTATCTCAATACTTCCCAAGAGGTTGATTGTTCGTACATTTGAAGAAGTGATGGCTTGTCTGTATCCATAATGAGATTATCATAGCTGTATGTCTTTTTTTTTATGCTACAGTTTGGGATTTTCTGCTTTTGTGATCCTCAGGTGGTACAGTTTGACTCTCAGAATGCTACAGTAGATTAAATTGCATTTTTAATAATGTGTCTGAAAGGCAGGGGGAGCAATGCCATTCAGATTAGGAAGAAAGGTGCACCAAAGATTAACTCTTACAGTTCATTTTGGTTCCTTGTGATCCAGGTACCAATCTCTTCTTCGCTTACTGAAAGCTTGGAGTTCTTTTTAATTTATTTCATTAAAAAAAACCCTCACATAACTAAATATACTGTATGCAGTTTCATCCTGATTACTCTTGATTAATATTGAATCTGATGAAAGTAGAGGGAAATACTCAAGAGGTTTTCCATCGCATTTTTCCTAGTAACTTTTTTTTTAGTAGAAATGAAGTTGGAAACTAATTTTAAAAAAAACTAAAGAAGAAATTGGGATGGAAGATTATGTAGTCCATGTGATTCAGAGTGAGTGTAAAAAAAACCCCACAAATATTTTGCAGTAATGAAAGAGAAATTATGAGGCAAACAGTAAGAGGAATAAGTAAACTCATTTGTCCAAACATGTTTTTTTGAAAGAGATTGGCAACACCTGTTCAGCTTCACCTCTTCTCTACTATGGAAGTACAACCCAATCAATACAATTATGTATAGATTTTCTACATTGAAATTCCATGAGATTAGATCATGTTTAAAATGGATTGCCGGTGCAGAGTAATCATATTAATCCTCGCTGCTAGGATGAAATTATAAACATCCTCTAGACCTGATGAAATATATTAACTGAACTGTTTTCTCACTTGATGGAGATAACACAAAGAAAGACAATCAATATAGGTGCATCCCATTCATGATCCTCTCCAAAAAAAAGAGGTTGTTTTTTTTAATTAAACAGGTTGAAATTCACAAACTGTGCTGAACTGCTTGGAGCTAAAACATAGCAGCTCTGAAATACACTTCTTTGTAGCTCTGATTGATGGGCTGTTGCAGCAATCTTATAATGCCCCTTCATTTAGCCTCCTTCACCTGAGCTCCTGCCCAACTAGCAGTTCAAAAGCATGCAAATGCAAGTAGATAAATAGGCACCACTTTGGTGGGAAGGTAACTGCACTCTGTGATGTCATGCCTTGAAATAAAAATGAAAACCACCCCTTATCATCATCAGTGACTAATGGAGTAAAATCTGCAGCGACTTCTCGGGAAAAACAACCAGATGGAGAAAGGAAAGTACTGTAGAGCAGAGGTCCCCAACCTTGGCAACTTTATAACTTGTGCACTTCAACTCCCAGAATTCCTCAGCCAGCGTGCCTGGCTGAGGAATTCTGGGAGTTGAAGTCCACAAGTCACAAAAGGGCCATTTTGAAGACCCCTGCTTTAAGAGATGGTTCCAATCTCACACAGGTTCCAGATCTCTGTTGTTCATTAAAGTAGTTCACCTATTCTTTTTTTCCAGATACCCCATGAGCCTTTAAAAAACCCCACTGTGGCTACCTTTAGAATTGCAGTGCAAATCAATTCCTTCATGGGACGGAATTCGCAAAATGATGGTCTGTTTTAATGAAGAGTAAAGGGTTGTTTTGGAAGCTCTGTTGTGAAACATGGGTTGCCCCATGACACAACTCAAACAGCTTACATACTATATTTCCTGCCTGCTGTTGAAGGACAAGGAAAGGCAGTCTGTATGGCAGCCATCAAGTCTATAGTGTCCTTCACACCTTTCAGAGTCCAGTCCAAAAGCTGAGCAAATGAATGAGCTGGTTCCCACAGACCCTGACACAGTAGTGATAAAAGAACCATGTGGTTGGTTTGTCTTGCTTTGGGGGCTGACTGTGACCACAACATTTGGCAGGTGTGATGGTTTTACCCAGCACTGATTTCTCCAAGATATAGTGGTTGCACGTCTCTAGTAATTATCCAAAGCTGGGCTTTAGCAAGATGAAGGACTGAGCATCTGTAAATCAAAATTGGTATTTTGTATTTCCAGAGAAGGGTCTTCAAACAAAAACCATGATTTGTGCTGCACATTTTGTACCCCAAACATCTTCAGGGTGGGTAGGTGGAGTCTTCAGTTCTGGGGGTTCAGTTGAGCACAAGCACTATAAAAGGCCATCGCTGCTCTTTGGGTGTGTTTTCAGAGGAACCTTGGCTTGTATTCAGTCGTAAAATGTGCGCTGAAGGTAGCATTGACAGGTTGCAGCTTTTTATTACCTGTATATTTTAAAACAAGTCTGGAAGTTCTCTGATGAGGTCAATGTCAGGTCCGCCAGATTTAAATTGCCTTCTGTTTTGGGCTTTCCAAAATGTATCTGGCAGAGAATTTGCTCTCTTTTTCAGATGGGTCTCTGAGTTAACTGCGTTGCTATGAATCAATGCAACATTTATTTAAAGAAAAAGAAAAGAAAAGAATGTCTTTCTATGTCAATGTAAATGTATCATTTGTGTATATTTATTAGAATTTCTTGTATAAAAAGTGCAATATGAATAATTGTACATTATTTTGTCCAGATGAAACTATTGGGGGGGGGCGGGGCGGGAGGGGAAAAGGGATTCTTCTGTAATGCATCTGCTACGTTTTTGTAATAACGGTGACAATGTATTGTCTGCTCCCTATTTTTGTGTTTAACCTTGACTACATTCGTTTCATACAGAGAAAACTGCAACAGGGTATTGGGGGGGGAACGGGGAGGCACGGGAGAGGAAGGTTATACTCTGCAAACAGAAGATCACTTTTCCTTAGCAGAAATGTGGTCGCTGTTTTTCCTCAGTAGAAAAATAAATAGATTTTCATTAGAGCATCAGACTTCAGCAGCTAAACTCTTTTGGATGGTGGCCTTTTGGAAATTCTCTGTGAAAGGAATCCATTCATTTCAGCATTCAAATGGGTGCAGTGTTTTTTTTGGGGGGGGAGGGGGCTTGAATATAAATGTGAATGAGGCTCCCGAAGAAGCTGGCTTCCCTGTTTATTTCAGCACAAACTCAAGGTGTGCATCTTTGTGTTGTCAGCACCATTAATGCTCTTGCAGCCCAGAGACCTGAATTGAAGCAAAGGCAGACGATCTAGTTCTGACTTCAGCGGAGCTCTATCCAACTCTGGGTTGTCTTCCCGCCCCCCCTCAGGAGTTGGCTAGCTGCTCTGTCCCATTTGCAAACCCCAGCCAGGATCCTCTGAGTCAAGTCCCTCAATGATAGACATGTCTATAACTGTGCGAAGGCTTGCAGCCTATGAATGTAATTACGAATGTTTCATGAATTGTGACTTGGCAGCATCCATGTAAATTTCTTGTTAAGGTTGACAAAATACTACAGGAGGCAGCTCCCCTCCCCTTTTTTTAAAAAAAAAACTTGTTTATATAATTTTTTTTGTACAAATAATGCATCTTATTTATTTACTTTCTTGTCAGACTGGTTCTTTATCATTTCCTCTGGAGTCTTGGGAATTACAAATATTCAGAATTCATTTTTATCTTATGTGTGAAGAAAAACACTAAATCTCTGAGGACCTGAAGAGAATATTCCAGGATCCATAGCCATTCCCATCCTAAAGCCAGAAACAGTAAAAAAAAATTAAAAAATCTAATACTGGAACTATCTCCCATCACTCCACCAATTTTTGCCAATATCCTTTTCTGAGTTCGGGAATCTCCAATTTAGGAAAGTCATTAAAAGAGGTGCAGGAAGTTCTTTTTTTTCAAAAGGGCCTTAAGCCTTTCCATCTCCCCATTATTATTGCTGTTTGTGGCCTTACCAAGCTGAAGATACTCATTGCCAACCAATTGCTGAAAAACAAAACAACAGTGATCTAGAAGGGTTATAATCTATGGTTACTACTAATAAAATAAAGTACTTTTAAGTTAAAAAAAAAAGATTAAAGTTTAACAGACTTGCAGTTTCCATTCATGTTCCCAACCCAAGAAGGTAGCTGTTTTAAATGCCACATGATACAACCAAGAAAGTATTCAGCCTCACATATTACAATGTCTTTACACATTAGATCCCAAGAACCCACAATTTCTACAACTGGTGTTGCTTCTCATTTGATTGAAATGAAACATTTCAGGATGCAGGAAAGTACAGCTGAGTTTCAATGAACAAATCAGCATGA